GGCAATTTAATTTCATATGTGACAACTTTTATTTGTCACATATAAAAGCTAACTCAGCAAATATATTTGTCACATAAAAATTGGCCAATTTTACTCATCTACACAAGCAAATAAGAATTGTCACATAAAAATTGTCACAAAGAAATTGCTCATGTAGACAAGGCTTAAAAGTCAAAAGATCAGTACGTGTATATGGAGATGGAGAACAGCACCTCCCATAGTTCCTGTAACAAAATTTATCACCTAAAGAAGAGCCTGGGAACTAATGGCTTATACTGTAAGATGCACTTATAAGCCTCTCAGCTTATAAGCCCCTCTATAGGCCCATCTATCTGTAAACCAAAATATACATCTAGGATGTCTGCTCTAGATAAACAGGTTCTAATATATTGTGCAATAATATATAGTTAATTAATTACTCAGGCTTCCATAGGAAAGCCAAAGTCATAAAATGCAAGCTGTTTTGATTGCCAAAAGGGGGTTCACGGTCTCAGGCATTCCTAGTGTAGACTGTGGAAACTGGGGATGAGAGGGCAACAGCTTATGTTATCCTGTACTCACTCTTCGTGAACAAGAACAACATGATTTACAGCATGCTGTGTTTTGTGAAGAAAGTCTTGGAAAGAATCACGCCTTATACGTTCATCTCAAAAACAAAGATGTCGCTCGTTTTCGGAACAGGTCAGTCCAGGAACTTTAAATAGTGCTTGAAAGCCTGACAAATAAGCAAAGTTCAGGCTCATTCTTAAAGATAACAAATGAGCCATGTGAGAGTTCAAACTACGACAACACTGTTAAAAACCTATGACTACTGACTTAAAAACAAACTATGATGCTGAGATTCATGAACGCCTCAGATGTTGAAAAAATCAAAAACATCCCAAACAGCTGTAAACAGAACTTTGAAGAAGAAGCAAGCAGCATGCAATTGGATAAAGAGGATACTCAATGAAGCAACTTGAATAGTAAATATTTGAGCATAACTATTGTGTTGAAATGTCCTGTTTCTTTTATTTGTTTTTATTGTGTTCAATAAGCTTACTTGTAAAGTACAACTTGATCTTGCGTTATGAAGCCCGAGTAAACACTCTCAGTGTCTAGTTTATTTATTAGCTAAAACCTTTCGTAACACAGTGTAACACAGTGTAAGACCAAAGACTGCTCGTAGCACAATGTCCAGTCAGTCAATGCATCAATCTGGAATAATCTACAGTTTAGCTTTAAATCGCTGGACAAATGTTAGAGGAGTCTCAGCTGCGCTTTTAGAAGTAAAAAGCCCTTGACGTGTCCGCATATTGCAGGTTTTGTGCAACAAAACAGCTTAATATTGGTTTTTGCATCCACTTAACAGAGGTGTCCGCTGTATGCATGGGTTTATTTTAGGGTGATTCCACGTTGCGGACATTACATTTAGAACCAAAAATTGGAATTTGAAACTCCTGCCAAACCTTTATACAGCCAACTAAGCTGCTGAAACTTGTGCATTGA